ACACGGCAGGGCTCCCTCGCTGCTGCAGGCGCGCTTTGACGCGGGTCACCCTCCAGAAACTCCCCAGCCCTTGGCCTTAAGGTATCTGAGGGGGACCCTCCATCTTCTCTCCCTCCCTCCTCGGTGGCGCCCAGCCCCAGGCTTTGCCCCGCGGTGCCCCGGGACCGCCTCGGGCCGCTCCTGGATCTGAGGGGAGCCAGCACCCTGACCTCGGGCGGTTTGCAGACAGACAGCACCTCCCCTGAGGTTTTGCTGCTTTTTACTAGTTAACTAATTTTCTTTTAAGGAACAAAACGGCCCGCTATGATAATCATCTCTGATCTCTAGATAAGTTCCTACGTGCTCTAAGGGGCCGTTTCCTGCCTCCTCGTAGCCTTGTTCCCAGATAACGGGGTCAGAGCCCCGTCTGGGAAGGGACGGTGGTGTCGGGAGGGAAGATGGTGTCGCAGCCGCTGAAGAAGAAGGAAACCCCGGGAAAGACTCAGCAGGGCTCGGGGGCAGCGCTTGGCACATGGTGCGGATGAGCTGTTTGAATTTGAGAGGGAGGTTTGTGCCGTGAGCCCAGACAGGCACCGAGCTGTGACTCACGTCCCGGGAGGGGCCGGCAGCGGCACTCGGCCTGTCCCAATGCAGCGGGCAAGGGCGCGACAAAATAACTGCACTGGCTCCCTGGACGTGCTAGAAACCTCTAAATGGTGTGATTTTAGCTCAGTCTTGTGACATTGTTAAATTTGTGCTTTTGGTTTTCATTTTGCTTCGGGGCTGGCAAAGTGAAATGAAGCAGTGCTTGACAGAAAACAAAACAAACCCAGTTCAAATGGAGAAATAGATTTAAGATGTCTGTCTTGAAGCGGTGAACTCTGGACTGTTCTGCAGTGTTATTCCAGTTTTGCTGTCTTTCTTTCACGCTCTGCCTTTTCCAAAAGCTCAGTCATTACACAGTCATTTTTTTCCCTTTGTTCCTCATCCTGCCTTGGCAATCAGTGCCAACTGAGGTGTCTGGATTGGAACATATGGGCTGTGTCTCTGCAGACATTTAGCAGAGTTCAAATCACCTAAAATGGAAGATTTCTCCAGTGTCATGTTTCAGACAAAACCATCCAGGAGAAGTCTCATCATTAAGATGAAAGGATCTTAAAGCAGCCCCTGAATCCATGTACAGGTATCATTTTACCAGCTGCTGACATACAGCCATCTCCTGTGGAAAACAACAGCTGTTAGTCATGTACAGCAAAACAGTGACCCAGAGATGAATGAAAATTCACATCTATGAAAAAAAAATCATCCATTACTAGGAAAGCTTACTCAGTAGCTATACCTCTGATCCATTCCTACTGGTTTAAGTGCTTGTATCTGCCAGTTAGAGTCAGTTTTAAACACCTGTAGACAGGCTATGATTGAATACAAAGGTTATGATGTTTTCTTGTGACATTTGAACAGATCTGGCTTGTTTTCTGTTTGACCATGGCCAAAATACAGATTAAAAGATAGCACTCGGACTTGTAGGAAGATGCTAAATAACATTTAAAAATAATTGTAAAAGCCATAAGTTAGCAGCAGATTTAGCAACACCTAGGACATAAAAAGGAAATAAAAATTCCTGCTACTTCATTTGATTGAATTACAATTTTTGTTAAAATAAAAATCAAGTACATATAGTGATTTTGCTTCCATTTTGTATGGCTAATACTAGAATCTCAGATGAGTTGGAACATGTCAGAAATAAGTAGTATTAATTATAAACCCGTTTTTGTGCAGTACTGCATGGGGCTGGACTCCTGCTGGAGAACCAACACACCCACCTTCCCATCCAGAAAGGATTCTAAGGCATGGAAAAGTTTTCAGTTTGGAAGAAACTTTGAAATTAGATGTTCTGAACTTGTATGTATGCATCCTTCAAGTCATTTCCTCCTCAATTTTAGTAACTGTGGTTAAACAAGCCAGGTATTTTGGGTAATAGATCCCACATTCTATTTCCATATGAAGAAAAAGGTGACTTTTAATCATTAATGTTTTCTCCTAAGACTGGGCTTCAACTTCCTAGACTACAGACAGTCATGTCAGGTGTATTATATCCCTACAAATGCATTTGGTTTAGGAATGTCTGGCACCACTTCACCTTTTTAGTACATATAAATACCTTTATGCTCTTCGACTTTACCTGTTGGCAGCTGACACCCTCAGAGCATGGCCAGTTGTAACACAGTGGAGGAGGTGGGGAGTTCAAAAGTGCATCAGCTGCCCATGAAATAAAAACTCAGTTGACAGAATATTCCCTTGAGAAGGCCCTGTACCTCTTTCCCTGTGCCCAGCTGTTCCTTCTTCCTTTCACCAGAAGCTTTTGATCCCATCAGTTGGACTGAGTGCCAAATAAACTGTACATGTGGCTCGTCCCTAAGTAAGGAGAAGTAAATTTCTGTCAAGGGAACAGAATAAGAATCCTTATTTTATTTCAAATCAAGTACTGGGTATGCTTCCAATGGAAAATTAACAACCCTAATTTAAACTATGAGGAAAATGGAAAGGATATGTTGGATTTGGAAGTAGACAGCTGGAGAAGAAATGCAGTAGTGAAAGCAGTTATGAAACAAAACAAGCAATCACAATCACTTCTGCAAATGTGGAAGCCTGAAATACTTCAGGATACAAGTCCACTAATTACAAATCTGGCAAATCTGCCTCTACAGCTTTACCTCTGTGCTGGCAGGAAATAGGAAAATAGATCATCAAGAAACCTAATTACTATTCTTCTGGACTTCCTAATGTATCAGCAGTTTAAGTGTTGGTATTTCGATCACTCTGTTCTGGAAGAGCTGTTTGATTGTTCTCTCTCAGATCAGAAATAACTTAAAGCTTTCTTAGTTCATTGTCCATCTGTCCACAATGTCTTGTTTTATACTGGCTCAGAGAGCTTACTGTAAAAAAAATAGAAAAAAGCCTTTTACTTTCAGATACAAGACTGACATATTTAGGACATCGGAGAATTTATAAATAAAAAAAATACAGAATCAGCTGGAAATCCCTATCAGTACATGTTTCTCTTGAGGTAACAGAAAGCTTAAGTGGGCTCGTGAAAGTTCAGTTCCTGAAGCATCATTCTTGATAGGAAAACAAATCAATAATAATTACAGCTCTGTGTATCAAAAATAATCATTCAATAATCTTTCCTGCAATTTGTTTATATAGGTAATGGTAGTAAACAAGAAGTGCTTTGTCTGCTGAGTAAGAGAAAATTGACATTTTTAAAGCAAGGCAGTTTTATTATTTAGCCTGTGTGCTAGTTTGAAAAAAGGACATGCTGGCCTAAAATGAGCTACTGCTAAAAAAATGATTAGGATGGTTTGAGCTAAACTCCATGGCTTTTTGCCTAAATGAAATTAATGCAAGTAAGATAGTACATACTGTAAGTTTCAACAATCACATTATGTCAGATGTAAAGAAATTTTGGGGCTGCAACCAACAAGTTTTATTTTTATCAAATATTATCTGTCCTTAGGTTTAGTTCATGTAACTTGGGGTTATTATACCAATAAGTTAAAAAAAAGAAAATAAAATAATGTAGTGCTAAGGTAAATAAATGATCATCTGCTTTAAGTAATTTCCTTGCAACTGCACTCTAAGCCTTATATTCATTAGCTTTGCACAGCATCCAACTGTGGCATTTAGTGAATAATGCAATCACAATTGCATATGCTGATAAATGGAATAATGGATAAGCTCTCTAGAAATTAGTACTCAAACACAGAAGGAGTGACAGGATAGAAGCTGGAAACCGCCCCCCCAAGTTTTCTCAAGATGTTTCTTTGGCTCCTTAATTACCCATGAATGTCTTCTATTCTCCTATGTAATCTAAGAATTAGCCTCTCAGGTTGGTTATTTGTAACAGTGAGTAATACCCTCTAGTGGTACACACTGGAAAATGAGCTGGACAAAGAATGATTATTTCTTTTTTCACTGTTAAAGAGTTAAGGTAAGATTTCATCTAAATAACATAAATAACCCTCTGTCTCTGTATAACACAGGACATCACTGGTCTGTCTAGAGGTGCTGGTTAAAATGGAAAATGCACTGCACTGAGTTAGATGTCAGTTAGAAACAGCTGGGTCTTTATTCACTTGTTTGCAGAGGAAACAAATTGCCACCTGCAGTCTGGAAGGAGTGGTTCTAGTGATACCCAGGTCAGGGGTAGGTCCTTACATCTGAAGGCTACATTTAATTCCTACACATTACAAGTCACTCTGTAGGCAAAAAAGGAATATTTATCAGTCTCTAATGTTGCAGTGTAATTAAGTGTATTACCACACCCTGTGTGCAGTCCAGAGTTCACTATCAAAAAATATTTTCTGGAAAAGCTCATAATCAGGGCTTCCTGAAGTTGCCAGCTCTTTTGTTTTATTTACCAATTGGCAAAGGTTCAGAGATGGAGGTGAAAATTGACCGTGCTGAAGAACAGAGTCCAACAAATGCCCCTCTTATAAAGAAAAAGATATTGAACTTATTTAAACTAATGTGCAAATACTCTTGAATCTTTTTCCAGAAGCCCAGTTTACCAAAGCAGAGTAATCTAGGTCTGTTTTGAAATCCTCTTTCCTTCCATAAACAGAATACCCCCAAGTAGAGGGAATATCAGGAACTTACTGCATTTCTCTGAAGTAGCACATCCATGTGCAGTATTTGTCACGATGTCACTTGACTAATCCCATGTCATTCTGATTGTCACTGGTTTGGCCTTTCAAACCCCATTATTGCTATAAGATTTAAAAGCTTTTGGTAGTTTTCCAGGATTTTCTGGTGGCACTGATTACTCCACCCCTCCAAGAAGAAGGATCTCATAATGTTCAGTATGACACCGGTTCAGATTTTAAATCAGCTTCTAACCTAATGTTAAGCAAGATGGTAGTCAGGAACCAATTATTTTAAGGCCCCATGAAGGAAGGATTTACTGTGCCTTTCTCAGCTGTAGTTCCTGGCATTAGTTCAGCTACTGCAGGGTCTTGGACCAGTGCAATCCTCCATATTTCTTGTTATCTCACTATTTTTCTCTTTTGCTGTGGCAAACTAATCTCTGTTCTCTTTATTCTTTTATAAAGCATATAATAGAAGAATGAAGAAGTTGCCTATCTCCCAGGCTGGAGTAACTTTGCCAATACTGCTGTAGGATATAATGAAACTTTCAGTCACCACATCACTGTTAATAAAATGGAGACAGCAGTTAAAAAAGTTCTGACAAGAATTTATTCATTTACGGTTGAGAACAAATGTGTCTGACAGTGGAATGATGAGATTGCCATATTCTGTACAGAGAGATTTTTCTAGAAATCTTCTTTCCACTGTGTTGACAGAACTTACAGTATAGAAGTTCAGGAGTGGGTGTCAGTTCACAGACTCAGCCAGTTACAAGGATGGCTGCATGCCCAGATGAGATGAAGGTTCAGACTTTCTTGCTACTGTTCCTGTTTCTGTATGTTCACTCTTGCTGAAAAACTAATCAAGCTGTCTGACACCTGGCACAGGAGGGCAGCACTAGGTGTTACCTTCCTGTATTAAGCTGGCTAGGAAATTTTATTACCCAAAAGAAAAGGAAAAAGAAATCTCAAGGAGCTATTTCAAGCTAAAAGCTGGAAGGAAAGAAGCTAATCAAGCTGAGCCTTCTGTGCTTTTTTTTTCCTGTCCATGGTGAAGGCTGAGAAAAGCCTCCTTCCAACTACAAGAACCTCTATACAACTGGGAGAAAATGGCAGTTGTGTGGTTACTTTAAAACCACTGCTTTCTGGCAGGTGGGCAGATACTGACTAAGTGCATTTTGTGCAGAACACTTGCAGATGGGTAAATATTGACTGTGAATGGCATTTTGTGCGGAACACTTATTTTTAAAACCTTTAAATACTTTTATGTATATAAGAAAGACATATAAAATCTCTCAAGTACTTTTCCCAAGCCTTAGTTTCCTCATCCACTGGCAAAAAAAAAAATAAAACAATTAAAGTTTTCTAATCTTCACTTGAGTTGTCAAATTCCTCCCAGTCTGATACGCTCATAACTTCTGATGGAAAGTCAAGGTGATGCTTCATTCGGTCTGCGTGCCATTCTGAGAGCCACTTCTCTGATTCCATTAAAATAGCCCTGGGCAACGTGAGGACACAGGCAGCCATCCCAGAAATATCATCCTCCAGCTGGGGTCCTTCCTCCCAACAGTCTCTCTCTGCATCATAAATGTGGACATAGTCCATGCGGATTCCCCTGTTGTGGGATCTGCCTCCCAAGACGTAAATCCTGTTGTCTAAAACCGCAATGCCTGGCTCTCCATGTCCTGCAGGAAGTGGACATACATTTGTCCACTGGTCTGTGCTTGGCTTATAGCAGGCAACCTGTAAAACAAAAAAAGAAAAGAGAGAAGCTAAAACTGAACTTGTATCCTAGTGACAGAGCCTGGCTGTAAGGTAAACTGTTTAGGGAGGAATATCATCAGTCTTTTTTGTCAGAGTGTTGATAATGGAGACAGCATATGACCATCTAATACAAGTACAGTGCTCAGCAGAAAATTGTGCATAGTTGCCACATAGCTTTGGAATCACAAATTCTGACCCTGTTGCTGGAGTAACAGCTGTATGTCATTCCAAAAATGTATACAAAAGTGAGAGAGATGGGGACACGTGCTAATATAAGCCCGGACATAATGCACCTGTTTGCATTAGAGAAAAAATGCTGGAACATACAAATATGATAAATCTGCTAAGCTGCCTCTGCGCCATATGTTGGAGAGTTTTAGATTTCATTGGCTACCTACTTGGCTAACTGCTTTTGTTTCTAGGCACCTTCTTATCATTCAGATACACTCTGCAGCTAGATTTAATTCTGCCATCTCCAGTGGCTCTATAAAAAGTTACTTTTTGTCTCTTCTGTTCAAGTCTCTAGTAGTTCTAGAGGCTAGAATAAGGTTCAAGAGAATTCTCTCCAGACATCCCTTACCATCAGATACTGCACATTTTAATTGCATTATACAACTGCCATCCAACATATCCTTAACAGCTTTGCCCTGCAATTACACATTGGTAATTCAAAAGTTCTCCACTTAGAAAAAATGCACGTAAAGACAGCATGAAGTAAATTAAACTGATGTGCTACTTACTGGGCATATGCATGCCAATGAAGCTATCCATCAGAGATGCTTTAAAATTGATAAGAATTTCAAGTGCTAGAGCTTTAATGCTTTGTGGGTGAGACAAAGTGTTCAAGACAGACAAAATAAATAAATCATTGCCTGTTCTGCAGGTGAGTGGGGGAGAGGTCATCCAGCAGCCATTGCTGAGCAGACAGTTTTATTTGCACACTTAGCAGGAGAAAGACATTACACCTAAGTGCCAGCATCCATGAGAAACCAAGAACAGACACAGGTGTGACATGGTCTCACCTGGTGAACATCCCTCCTGTAGCCAGAATCGTTGTTGCTTCCCCCGATGACGTAGAGCTTTCCCAGCAGTGCAGCCATCCCGTGCCACGCCCGTCTCACTGGGCCATCTGCCAGGACATCCCAGCGGTCAGTCCTTGGGTCATAGCACTGCAGCTCCTTCAAATAATCCTCTCCTCTCCTCCCACAGGTGATGTACATCTTCCCATCCAGCGCTGCTCCTGCATGGGCGTACACCTGCACCACCACACCAATGGCAAAGCAAGAAGTTGAGGTCTGGATTTATGGATTTCTCCCAGTTTTGAAGCAGGGAATAGACATGAAGGGAGTGATATTCCTCATGAGTTACACAGAGATCAAAAGCAGAAAGGATTTTCTTATGGACAGTTCTAAGATATTATTACAGTGGATTTCTGAATGAAACACACTAGAATTTCGGAAACTTCCAGAACAGCAGCATCATCTGTCTTTATTGTTCCTTCATTAGAAGATCATTCATACTATAACTTTACTTCCTAATCTACTTAGAAGCCTTTTTATTGGTGATTTTTCTTATACAAGCAGTGTTATCAAGAATGCAAATTATTCTACTAGTAGCACTCAGTTCAGGCTTTTAATGTTTTCACCACTGACACACATTTTTTATTTGTTTTATTAATAGTTTTAAGGATTAACAGAATAAAGGTGCAGGCAAAATCAACAAGCAACAGGAAAAATAAGCATTTAACTGGAAAATGTAATTTACATATGCTATTATTTTATTTTATTGTTGTCCATTTATTGCATATACAGAGTTTACTGCTTTCCATCTGAATATCAGCAATTAAAAGTAACACCTGAGAAAAACATCTAGCAAGATTAAATCAAGAACTGGGGAATTGTGGTAGCATGTGTGGCTAATGCACTCCTTACCTCCTTCTTCAGAGGTGTCACATATTCCCAAGTGTTGGTTTTAGGATCATACCTCTCCACTTCCCTCAGGTCTTCATGGTAATCTCGGCCTGCGACAGCATAAATATAGTTGTCCACGACACAAACACTGAGGTCTGCGTGCTCTTGCTGCAGGGACTGGATCTGGAACCATCTGTTGTGTCGTGGGTCATACCTTGTAAAAGAGTGGGATCAAAGAAAGTTATTCCTGCAGCCAGGGAATAACTGCTGGAATACCAGACAGTTCCATGGATGTGGGTTACTGCACTGTCCTCAGCTGAAATTGAGCTCATCTGTAAGTGATGTGAAATTTGGCCTTGTCGGCATTTTATTATTAGCAAAGTTGTTTTATTCTATTTATAGAAGATAAATTTAAACAGCATTTTAGCTGACACCATCATGCTGTAAAAGCCTAGGTTTTCCATTATCTTGTACACTGCTGTGTATGTATGTGGGTTACATATCACAATCTCTATTTGCACAAAGCCATTCTACAAGGTAACACAGTCTAAAAATAACACAGAGACTGAATCTGGATCTTCAATAAGAGCATAAGTATGTGGTGGGTTCTTTGATTCTTTTCCCCAAATATCTGCTGCTCAAAGTGAATCTCATTATTCACCTTCACATCTAACTATCTCTCTCATCTGGAAATTTTAGTTACATAGAAAACTGGTTCAGAATTGAAATTATGCATGCCATAAAATAACAGCAACTCAGCTAAGACTTGTTAAAATGAGCACAACATAAAGGCAAAAGGGTTTATATCTGTTTTTGCAATGTAATGGGCTTGAAGATCTAAACCTGATCCTTCCTCCTGCTCTTTTCCCTGTCACACAGTAATGTAAAATGACTCTGGAATGCTGCTATTGTGCACACAGATTTTTGAAAATCTGTTAGTAATAGCATTTTATTTAAAATGCTTTTGTACTGGGACAAGAACTATACATAGAAGACTTCCAAAAAATGCTAGTTAGAGAACATCTAGACAACCCAGAGTTCAGGTTCATTACTACTTCCCACACTTTTAATACTTCCCTCCTCCAACAAGGCAGAAAGAAGCACCAGTAATACTATTGAATGAGTACCTGTTTCTACACTGTCAGGCTTGGCTTGGTCTCATAAGCACTGCTGGGAGCTGCCTGTTACTATGAAGCTCATTTCTTGTGTTTTCTTTCAGTGAGGCTCCTGCTCAGTTCCTAATCTTTGGGCTGGTAAGTGTACTGACTGTCTACTGGCTTACTGACTCAGAAATGGGCAACAAGGTGGCAATAAAATGAATAGCAGGATTATCCTTATCTTACCTCCAACATCTTGACTCCGCTCGAAAACCACTTACATTGTTGTCTCCACCAATTAAATATACAAAATTATTGAGAACAGCAATCCCTTGGTTGGACATTCTGGGGGCTAGCGCAGCTGTAAAGTGCCTCCACTCCCCCAACAAGGGGTTCAGATACTTGGCTTGATCACTGAGGACAATGGATGGAGTAGAATGCATCCCTCCAAATCCCACTACACACTGGAACTCTGATCTCAGCTGTGTCTGGGAGCTCTGAAGCATTGGCTGAAGACATTCATTCTTGTGGTACATTAATGCATCTGCAACTGTATCCTTTAAAGGACATGGACTTAATTTGTCGTGAAGCCTTTGCAGGATCTGGGGTTCCATCAGAGGAAAACGAACTGTCTCAAGGAGCTTAAGGGGCTCCATCAGGGAGACCTGATCTGTCTCCAGTTCCTCTGGAGAATAGTGATAAAAAAGTGCTCCGTCATAAACTTCAAACTCATAGTTAACCTCCAAACGGTTGCTGCTGAGAAGGGAGTAGACCTTCTGCAGGGGTAGCTGTCGGTACACTTGTGTCCTTGAGAAAGCTGTAAAGTTCTTCAAAATGTACGAGTCCAGCTGCTCACTCAAATGCCTCAAGTCATAGTGGTCAGCTAGTCTGTACACATCAAGGATGTTCTCTTCATCTACCCAGGACATGAGGAAATCACAACAGAACTTAATGACTTCTGGAATCTGCAAGAGAGAGAGAGAGAGAGATTTTTCATTTCAGACACCACCTGCCCCACGCCCCCAGACAGGGGACTGAAGCCTGGGATGACTGTAAGGAAATTATCCACAAAATGACTGCTCTCTTCACAGTCTGACCACCACGCTCACCTGTGCCCTGTTCACCTTTCTCCAGAGAAAGAGAACTCAGTGTGGCTATGAAGATGAATATAATACAGCTCTTCTAGCCACATTGTACTGCAAGACTGAGTTTTGGCTTCAGGTGCAGCAGTGTGTCTTCAAGACACGTGGGACACTGGGCAGCAGGGCTGCCTGCTCTGCAGCCTGCCCTGGAGCAGTCAGCAAAACAGATACAGAGGACATGGTGATTCCATCTGTGTTTGTTTTTTCAGAGCACTACAGACATACTATATCAAAGATTGTAACAAATACATCACTCAAGAGCTTAGGGAGCCATTGGAAAGGAAAATGAGTATTTAGTATTGTCTTCTGAACACAATTTGAAGTTGTATCTGGCAGGAGGAACTACTGGCAAACAAAGAACTAACTGCTGTCCAGGAGCCTCTCTGCTAACAAAGTGTGTAAAAACCAACCAAAGCAAGCACTCACAAAGTTTAAGATTTAGTACTAAAGCCTTGTGCAGCAGTTAGCTGCAGGGGAAATTAGGGAAAAAAACCCCTTGTCTTAAAAGCACATGAACTCTGCACTTAGTGCAAACCATAGTGGCAGGATTTCCTGTAGTGATGGAGTCAGGAGAGGTCATATGCCTGTGGACTCACTTGGGGATGACCTTGAGCAGCATAACAATTTCTGAGCCTCAAACCCTATTCTTTACCATAGGCCAGGGATATTCTCTTTCAGGGAAGCTTTCATAAGCAGCTCAGTGAAAGTGGATGCTATATAAAATGCTCCTCTAGATGAAATGGGTAATATCTTAAGTAAAGAAACCATTGGCACAAATGAGATGCACACCCATTCATTGTCCCTATCCTTCCACAGTTAGTTCCAGTGGATACAGCATCCCAAAAATCCTTCTTATCATGTCCATGCTCCTGCTCACCTCTTAACCCTCCCTCTAACCAGATATCCATGTTTTCTGTTTCTTTCATCATTGCTTTTGTTTCCCGTTTCTTTTTTGTCACATCTCCCAGTACCTCACCTGAAGCTGACAGGCTGCAGCTAAGGTTTCCTGTACACTGTTCACACTGAGTTCCAGCTCAGAAGTATAAATGAAGTTCAAGATTTTACACATTGCATTGTAGGAGATGCCATGAATATGAACTTCTTCTTGTTCCATCTCTCTCAGTCCTCCTGCAAACATTCCTCTGCAAAACAGACAAGGGCACATGCTATGGCAGATTTGCAGTGAAGCTATTTCCAGTTTGTTCATCTTATGTTGTCCTGGGAACATAAAAAATATTCAGAAATACAAAAACCTAGCTAGACATTTTTATGTGATTACCTCTTCTCTAAGTTAAGAGTACAGGCATTTAGGACCTAAGAAAGTAACTCTTCATTGTGCAGGAAAACAGTAGGGGCAACTAAGAAGGTACAACAGGTGAAGGACTTAAATACAGACCCAGTATATATGGATAGTCAATGGTCAAAGGCACATACTCTGGGTGTGGGGAAAGAGAAAACACAGAGGAATTGGGACAGTGGGAATTTTTTTCTAAGGTAGAACAGATCTTCCTTCAAACTTTGAAGTTTGTCTGGATTGTCTTGGGTGTTTGCTTTATGAAAACAAAGGAACTGCTAATCAAACTGATTGGGGACTGCCTGGTTTAATGGCCAGTGAGTCACCTCCAGTGAGTTTTTGTGTATTATGCAATGGTCACCACAAGTCTTACAATGCTAAGGATATGTTAAAAGCCACTTAGAGTGCTCTTAAGCAGAAGACACCAGTTCAGACAGTCTCTCCTCTTTATAAACCTCCAAGTACCACAGTGAATTTAGTGGAGGTAAGCTCAGTGTGCAGGAACAAGAGCTTTATTTCTGCAGAGAAATAACAGAGAGATGAATAAAGCCATAGTTAGTACTGTGAAACAGCCTCAGCTCCATCTTACAGGTCCGATTTTAGATTCAGAAGGAGTATGCCCAGACAGAAGATTTGGATGTCGCTGTTTTGACTGACAGTCACACTTGTGCTTGTTACTGAAGCGTACCTGAAGTAGTCACAGGACGCGGCCAGAAGGATGCGATGAGCCTCGATGGGTTTGTCTTCCACCACCAGAACCACATCGAAGAGGATGCTGCTGTCCCGGAGAGACACCAGGCCGCTGAGCAGCGCCTGCGAGTGCTCTGCACTGCGGTAAGTGTTGCTGCTGCGCTGCTGGAGGGAGGGCTCCAGTGGAGCTTTGTGTGCCTGAGTCAGCTCCTGATCCTCCGCCATCCCAGGCAGAAGTGCTCAGCCACCAGCTGCAGCAGAATGAAATCTGTGAGACAACAGAATCAGCAAAGGTTTGTGCCTTTTGCTTTACAAACACTCCTCTGACCCTTGCCTGTCACAGAAAATAAAGCAACTCTTCACTCAATGGAGAGACAGTTCTGTCCTGAACAAATTATTCCAAAATATACAGAAAACAGATAGATGGACACCAGCACACCAAAGTGGCAGAATAAGGTTTTCCAAAAACAAGTATTCTGACTCCTGGGTTTTCAGACCAATTATCAGAGTGTGTGTCACATGGGTATTTTTTTTTCTTAGCAAGAGTTTCACTTCCCAATCCATTATCAAAACCCTCTGTTTCTTTTGCACTTCTGCATCATCTGCAACAAAAAATGGACCAAATTTTTGCCAAATTTGAAATTGCCTAATATCCTCAGGTGACTTTTCTGCAATATAAACTGCACCTTCCATCTTTCTCTTAATATTTTACCACAGAATCAGAAAGATCTCCTCTCTCACTGTGTTTGCTTTTTCCATTTTCTGTAGCTGAGCACATCTCCAACCATAATTGTACAAAATACTGTATGAAACTCTATGCTTCAAAGTGAGTTTCTTTATTTTGGCAACTTCAAGCTAGCTTGCACAACTACTTTCCTGTGAGTCCCTGCAGAGAGGAGGTATTTCCTCCAGAATGGGCACTGTCCAAGGCTATCCTGTACCTTTTTCTAGGGCTGCCACTGACACACTGGGAAGGTCCCCTAATTGGGAAACAGCTGTAAAAAGCTATCTGGAAGTGACTGTGTTTCATGTCTATGGTTAAGCAATCAAAATCTCATGAATCCTGTTCTACCATCCTGTAATTTACCCTGTCCATTGTCTCTGAAGAATGTCAGAAGTCATAGTCAGAACTTGTAGACTCTACCCAGTTGTCAGAGCACATTAAAAAACACCCCCCATTAACAAAAGGAAGTAAGTGAGCTGATATGGCTGCTAACACATTCATAAGATCCTCTCTTCAGCAGCCTGGGAAATAGCTTAGTGCCACAAGGGATAGTCACAAGGGGTTAGCAGCAGTCAGGGAAGCAAAAGAGAACAAACTCAGCAAATCCAAACAGTGAAGCAATGGAACCATTGTTTAATTGTGCCAGCCATAGGCAGTGAGTGCAGCACTGCAGATCTCTCAAAATACTGCAGGTATTCTGGGTATGGCAGCAAGGAAGGAGCTACCTAGATGACACCAAGAAATATGAAAATGTTTATTATTCTGCCTGAGAAAGCTACCCTACAAACAAAAGGAAGATGGTGTTGCATGGTGAATGGGATTGAAAACCCCTGAGAAAGCATATAAATGTTTATCTGCTCTTTATCTGCCAGCAAAACCAAGACAGCAGCTGAGAAGTGGAGCTCTGACAAGACAGCCTTCTGAGGAGCACTCAGGTCGATTAGAGAGGGAAAACTATCCATGATCAACTGAAGAGATGAGTAATGGGTTATTTTTCACGACAGGCTGATGCTTTTCCTAGAAACCAAATGAAAGCAGACAAAACATTACTGTATCATTGCATTTGCTCCTGGGGAATACAAAGAGTGATGGATTGAGGCAAGGGAAATAATATAGTAAGAAAGGCAAATAAAACAGTGAGTGTTACATGATGTTGATCAGAAATTTCCCATTTCACTGAAAGGAAATAAATGCAGCAAAACCAAAGTAGGGTGATCTATGGTCCAAATGAGGAACTGATTAACACTGTTAAATGTGGTTAAAGTTCCAAAACAGGTTACATCTTTTTCTCTTCTGTATCAAAAGAAGTCCCTATGGAAGTAAAACCACTGTATGAAAAAGCAGAAGAAAAAGCAACAAATGAACTATTTTCTGGATCCAAAAATGGATTTGAAAATCAATTCAATTTGGAATTTCATGGAGAGGGGAAACAGCATGACCTGTGATACAATCTTCTACTGTATCATATACTGCAGTCATTGGAGAGAGAGAGGCCAAGGCAAGGTGAGAGAAAATAAAACTACACAGGCCACTGAAGCCCTGTAAACAAGTGTTAGCAAAGAAATGTATTGTAGGAGCAGCAGGTTATAGAGATACATGCAGGGTAGAGTGGGAAACCATATAATAATGCAAACCTTTATTTATTTAATTTTAATTAATATGATGGTAGATACTGTTCAGAATACACTCTCTATCTGAATAATCTTAAAAAGTAACAGAAAAGGGATAAAGCTTTCAGTAAGTAAAGCTGCAGAAGAGATCTGATCTTACAGATGTGGTAACTGAAACCAGGAAGATTAAATGGTATTAAGAAAGAGAGAAAATATAAATAAATTAAAGGATAAATCATTCAGTGATTCTGTAGCCAGAATGAGCATTAGTATCTGAATAGCTCTCAGTAGCAAGTCGGGGCTGTCTTGGAGATCTGCAGGGAGTTTATCTCACATTTAGTTTGAATAGATACAGACTTGAATTATGCCACAACTATTATCAAGAGCTGAACAAACCTGCTCTGCCATGACCACCTAGTGTGGGCAAAAGAGATGCTGGGAGTGCAGCTGAACCATCCTCCACAGCTGATTTTTGGCTGGTTAACAGCTGAACCCACAGATATTTTGCTACGCTCTAATTTCTGAATTCTGGCAGTCCTCACCTCCTGTTTTCAGCTTCTGCCCCTGGGTTGTACTTTGGCTGTCACTGCCAAGCCCTCAGGTGTCCTCTCAGGGTGGTCACTCAGGCTTGCACATCATTCTAATGAACTGCTCCCAGCCTATAAAGGTGAACATTTGTAGTATTAGTCCATAAACTCTGCCTGACATATGTGGTTAAGTCTTCCTTGAGCCAAAAGCTAAGGAAAGCCTCCTAACTCCTGCCTAGATAGATTCAGGAGCTGGTAGAAAAGAGGTGTAAGACCTAGAAGGGTAGAGAAGAGCACAGGGTGGCTGTGGGGGATGTGGCCAGAAGGATTCCCTGAGCTGAGTGTGCTCAGCTCTGGAACAGCTGCACCAGGAGCAGCTGGGGTCCGGTGGGCAGGAGGGTGCAAAGAGCGGCTGCTGAGGCTGGGTTAGTGGGCTTCTGTTGTGTTCTTCTTTGAAAGAGAAGTGGGATGGATTTGGCATTTGAATTTTCTGGATTAAATGCAGTGTGTTTGCTGAGCTGATTGATAATTTTGTGTATTTCTTTGGGTATTGTTGTAAATGCTGATTACAAAATTGCTGAGGAGGGCTATTGCTGTTAGCACAGCACCCTGCTTCTCAAACTGTGTGGTCTGACCAGTGTGCTTTCTGCCTTTGTTACTGTCTAAAAATCTCTTTTGCTTAATCTTTATTAAAAAAACCCACAAAAAACCCAAAGCTGCCTAAATGTAATGTAAGCAGGACAGTTCTGGATGGAGAGACAGAGCAGGTTTTTTCCCCTCTATCCTGAGCTTCTCTACTGTCAGCTTCTTGTTTGTAGGATGTACCCGAGGCCTCTCTGCTCTCTTCTCTTACTGTGAAAACAGATCTGTGACTGAAACAAGTTCTTAGAAATTTGAGTAATATGTTCTTTCCCTTCTCCTCCTGAGATAGTTTCTCAGTGCTGGTCAGCTGTTAGCATTGGGCACCAGTGGCTGAGTACTCAGAACTAACCCATAAAGTGGGAAAAATGAGGAATCCTTTGAGTTCACTGTGCTTCTTTAACAGCAGCAAAGATAAAAAGTGTTCTCTCATGTTCTGTGGGATGCTGTCTGCAGAAACAGGGGAAGGCAAGTGGTTCCAGCTTTGAAATTGCAGAGAAAATCAAGCTAGACATTTGCTTTGCTGGCTGCACAATGCATTTGAGCCTGCAGTTATGTTAGTTTGTCTTTTAGAGGATGTGGGTTAATGTAGTGATTAATTTTAAGGTACTACAACTGAGTGTCCAGTACATAAAGAAGAAAGCACATGGGATCAGTAATTGTATGTGCATGTCTACAAGCAAGTGTAGGAAGATGTTTACTGTTGGGTCACTTTGAATCAAAGAGATAAAAAAAAGGCAAAAAAATCCCCTATAAATGGCAAAAACCTCAGGGGTACCTAGAAACACAAGACTGCTCTTTTTCAGCAGACTGAAATCTTATATATTCTGTGCTTGGATTCCAACTGAGAACCAAGAGAAGGGAGCCACACCTTGCAATGGAGGGAGCATGAAAGAAGTTGAGTATTTCCTTCTGTTTCCTGTGTTATATACCAGTGGTCTCTGGTAATAAGCTGTGGGCACAGTGAAAGCTACAATGTCTCAGTGACTTGCAGATAACTCTGTGTGGTTGTCTTGTATTGAAATTCTATTTTTACAACATTCTTCTGCAGATTACTGGCATGAAGAAAAGTAGAGGTCTTAGGTTTCTAATTATTCAACTGAAATAATTCATTAACTACCCATTAAGAGTTGTGGTAATTTTTAAAAAACAAAATCCCCTCTCTGATCAATAACAGAATACTTGCTTTCACAGTAGAGGTACGTGGCTTATGACTGAGGAAGTTGTCACTGGGACAGGAGGAATTTAGAGAATGCACTGTAGTTTGATCAATGGCAAAATGGTGAGAAACTGGTAAGGTGGTTTGCTCTTGTGCTCACTGAAAATCCTTATCCTTTTAAGAGCACAAGGTCTAGGAATGGAGTAACTCAACTAGAAGCAGAAGGGAAGGGAAAAATTAAAGGCATGGCAAACTAGACATGGTAGAGGAGAATGCAGTGTCTGTCCTAATGACATTTTTCAACACAGATCAGTTGTCACACCATGGTGTCCCTGTGCTGCCAGTACATCTAACTCAGCCTCTATTTTCTGGTGAGGGATGCTGTGCTTTCATGTGGTGAGGATCATTTTCAGTGCTGAAGTCAGTTGCTGGTGTTGTGTGGTATGATACACACCTAGCCAAGTATTCACCCTTGTCTGACCAGCATCCAGGTCAGAGAGATGCTCCCACTGCGAGGTGCATGTGTGGATTTGGGGGTGTCTTTATGTAAAGTTGTGCTGGCAGCCTTGATTCTCTACTGTAGAGAAATGGCTGGATGCAGGAAGGATTAACCAAGTTAGTTTCTATGGAAACTCAGACATTTTTGTATTCAAGAGCTCGTGGCTGTCAGTTACATCACTACAAAGAGGTGTTTTACGCAGATAGTGATATTTTCTTGTGCATCAGCTGTGCCCAAAATAAACTCGAGCTTGCTGGTGTCGGGTATCCAAATCTGTTTAGCTTACTGCCATATGGACAGGTGGCTCGAGCTTGGTGGGGGTCCCATGCTTTCTTAGAAGTGTGGAATAATTTAGACTGGAAAGAAACTTGGGAGGTCTCTGGTCCAATCTGTGCCCAAAGCAGGGAATCCTTCAAAATCGGGTCAGGATGTGGAGAACCTTGTCTAGTCAAGTGTAAAATCTCCATCCTTGTCAGTAGTCAGAAAACTGATGGTTTAGCCACCAGATTTGTTTCTTCTTTAGCTGTCTGATTTTTTTTCCCTGCAATTTGTGACACTTGCCTCTCATCACTGGCAGGGATGACTCTCCACAAAGGAAAGTTTGGCTCTACATTGTCCTGTGCCCATTATGTAGCTTAAAAAATGTCAACTGGCTCTGCCTTATTCTTTTGCCCTGTGCTGAACAAATCCAGTGTTCTTGCCTTGCAGGTGCTTGTACCTGAACCTGCCCTGTATGGTTCCTCCACTGAATTCTCAGGTTTTTCTTTCAGTATTGAGCTCAAAACTGGGCACAGTATTCCAATTTTTGGGGATTATGACTGCTAAATAGAATGGGAAAAAATAATTTCACATGACCTACTGGCTGTGCTCTTGTTAACACAGCCCAGTATGAAGCTGGACCCCACTGGAGAAATCATATTCAGCTAGCTGCTTGTCAGAACCCCCAGGATCTCTTCTTCCAAAGCTGCCTTGCAGCCAGGCTTGTCTTCTACCTGCTGTGATACCTGGAGTTACTCTTACCCAGCATGACTTTGCTTTTGCTGTTAAAAATGATGTATTTCCTCTTGGTCCCCTCTTAGAGCTTGCTGTCCTCTTTCTTGCAGGCCACATTCAGCAGAGCTTTTCCCTGACACACAACAACCAGTGTAGTGTGCTGGTTGGGATCCAAATGAAATAGGCCCTTTAAAGTCTTAATGCATTGGAGGAATTTGAAAATCTGTGCCCTAAGGATTCCCACACCTTCATCTCTCCCTAGGAAGTAACAAGGATTAGGATTTAAACCAGGCTTCAGCTGCAAGCCTGACAAAACAAGATACAGGGCTGGAGCAAAATGCTGAGCCTTGGGGGCTGCAGATGCCAGCAGGCAGAACCTGGCTATGGACCAGAATTTTAACGGGGCAGAGGACACACAAACAAACACATCAACTAAATCAGGGAGTGTGCAGAAAGGGGAGGCAGCTGGCTGCCTGCCAAAATAGTTGGGAAAACAAATGTGTTGCTACAAACAACAATAAAATGAAAAGCTAAACTATTGTTCATTCTAACTGGAGTGCAAATACCAGAATAATTCATCAACTACGTGATAATTTGTAATGGGCACTTGTGAGATTGCAACATAGAAGACAATTGAGTTCATGTTAATTGTAGACAAGACTTAAGCCCGTTTCATGCTTTTTCAAGGAAAAGGGAAGAAAGGTAAAGGGGAGGCAGAAGCTTTTATCAGTAATTCTTTCAGAATCCCTCTATGCATTCACAACGGTGCAAAAATAAGGATTCTGAAATACTCCATTTTAGGAACCTTCTACAAAAACGAGAAACAACCCAAACAACTCCTTTTGACCGAGGTCCCCACAAAAAGAAAGAAAGGAGGATATTTGGTATTATATAATATCTCAGCATTATTTTTGAGCACCCAAATGATGACGTGCTTTTGCCTGCTCTGTACACACAGTCTTGCCTCACGTCGCTGATGGAAATACGCAGAAACACACTCTGAACTGACTTTCTGAGCCATTTTCAGTTTCTAGCATTAGTAGTATACTTGAATTGTGGGAGGAAACCAAAAGGCGTGGCTTGGGAAACAGCTTTTGCAAACTATGCTGGCACACAAATGTCGGCATTCATTCCTTTCAGCAAATACCTGGGGGAGTTCACTGCTTTTTTCTCCCCCCAAACACATTACAAGTTATTTCTAAGACATATCCAGAATCAAAAACCTCATTTAAAATGTATATGACAACACCACCATGAAGTATATCTATATTTAAATAAATGGATATTTAAAATATTTTTTCCTCCCATGAACAGTAGTATGACCTAAAGAATTTAAGCTTTCTAATTTGAGTGTTTTACCTTATCTGTAAAAGATTTGCAACTTACCCATATTCACAGAACTGTAATGTTTTCTGTTGTGTATTTTTTGTGTAATTTATAAATTAGCCAATATGCTCAAAGAATTTTGAGGAACTCAAGTGTCTGCCAAGACTTGAACCCGATTTATTGATTTGCTTACATCACATAATGACTTTTTAAATCTTCTAACAAACAAGGAGGAAAAAAAAATAGAAAGTAATTATTTCTATGCCAAACACAACACTTAAATGACCTGGAAGTGAGCAAGGGCCTCTTCCAGCACTTTCCGGCTTCAGTTTCTCATGAAGATGAATATTTTCATACAATTCACCACATTAATTTTGTTCTGGCAGGCGTCTGTGGGATTCTAACCCGTGACTTAGACATTTCCCATCAGTGACACGGAATGAGTTTTCTCTGCAGGGGAAGGTGACCTGGAATGGCACACCACTCAGTGAGGCAGCCTGGCTCCAGAGCAACCCTGTGACCGAGAGGTCAAAGCCGGGTCGAGCACAGTTGTGGTTTTACTTTCTGTTGCCGATCTGGCAATGCCTTTGCAGGTGCTGACACCGCCGAGCTCCCCCTCCCGTGCCGGCAGCCCAGGCACCCTGCCCGGGCACCCGGGCCCGCCTCCACCTGCCGGCCGCC